ACACACACACACACACCTTTCAGTAGTAATTTTATTTACCAGCTCTCCTTCCCATTTTATAATCTAAAGTTTGTAGGTCAATCACTTGTAAATCTCTCTTCCTCCCTACCCAACAATACACTCAATTTTGTCTGTGGTAGTTACATAATGTCATGTCAACTTGATAAGTAGGTTAGAGGGGTGGAGTCTAGCCTGTCCATCAGGTCACAGCCTGATTGATGCCTCCTTGTGGACGTGGCCTGCTCACGAGATTTCTGGGAGTTTCCTCTCCTCCTCCCTGGAGGGGGGACACACTCTCTCTGCTTCACCTTCTTGTTGACAAGTCACATGGAGCCATGCTGATGGCATCCAGAGCCCTTGAGATGCATCCACTGCCATGGGATCCACAGGACTTTACGCCCGCTGGTCTGGGATCTTCCTGCATTTGGCATCAGTGCATGTGCTGGGTGGGTCTGAAGTGTCATGGGCTATTATCAGACTTATGGGCTAATTTCCAACGTAGGGACTTGATCTGGACTGGGATGGCGTGCTTTGTTGATGCCTAATTACTTCTTGATATAAAGCTCTCTTACAGATATGAGCGTCTATGAATTTGCTTCTCTACTCCCCCAGGATTAAGAAAACATCCTTATGAAAGAAAGAAAAAAGGAGAAAAAAAGTGAAGCCAGTTAGGTTTAAAGGCAAAGCTGTCTTTAACTTTGAGAACTTTAGATCCTGGAGGTGTTTGGAAAGGAAACAGCACTCATGTTGGCTACCTCTTTCTATCCTCAAGGAGCCCTGGGGCACTGTGGGCTAAGCACAGAGCTGCTAACTTCAACTCCGAGGTTCAAACTTTTGATCAGCTATGCAGGAGAAAAAGATGTGGCTAGCTACTTCCGGAAAGATTTACAAGCTCAGGACTCCTATACAGGGTGGGTCACTATCTGTGGTAACAGACTTGATGGCAGTGTTTCATTTGTTTGTTTGTTTAATACAAAGCAGCTCATGGCACTTGCAAATGGATTATTTTAAGATTGCGACACTGAAAGACACATTGTCTCATCAAGGTAACCTGGAAGTCAGCATTAAAAGGAAAGGGAAAATTTCAATTTCAAGCTGGTTTTATTACAATATAACAGCAGAAAACTATTTTTTAAAGGTCCCCTTTTCTATTTAATAAATACAGCACTTAATTTCCCCCAGAAAATATACACGCTTATTATCTCACTGTGCATAATTTCTGACACCACGTGGCTGCCAGTTTGTGTTACTATGTTCTATGGAGCCTTGCTTGTTGCTGTGCTGCTGGAAGTTATGTCATCGGTTCTTCCAAAAACCAGCAGGGTCACCCATGAAAGGATTCAGCAGAACCGCTAGACTAAGAACATCCTGGAAAGAAGTGGGTTGTTCATTTCTGAGAATTCGCCACTGAAAACCTAGAATAGTAGCCGAGTGCTGTCAGATAATAGTGCTGGAAGATGAGGCCGTCAGGGTGGTAGGCACTCAAAATAAGACTGGTGAAGAGTTAACCTTATTGATAAAGATGGGGACGGGCTTTCAGGACCTCCTTGTGCTGATAGGACACGGCTCAACAGAAAAGAAACAGCTTCAAACATCCATTAGTATTAGAACATGAATGTACGAAATAAAAATCTAGGAAAACTGGAAGTTGTCAAAAACAAAATACAAAAAGATCCTAGGCATCAGTGATCTGATATAGATAGTACAGACAGTCACATGGTTTACTAAGCTCTGATTGATAACTTCAAGAGGAATAGTGTCACATTCATCATCAAGAATAATATTTCAAGATTTATCTTAAAGAACAGTGGTGTCCGTGGTAGGATTAAATCTCTCTATATAAATCTATATATCTACAAGGAGTCTAGTTAATAAAACTATTATTCAAATTATGCACCAACCTATAAAACTAGTGATGAATTGGAATAATTCTACCAACTTCTTCAGTCTGAAACTGATGAAACATACAATCATGATGCATTGGTAATTATTGGTGACTGGAACACAAAAGCTGGAAACAAAGAGGAAGTGGGTGTAGTTGGACAATATGAACTCGGTGAAAGAAACAAAGCTGGAAGTGGCATGATAGAATCTTGCAAAACCAATGACTTCATTGCCAGTACCTTTTCTCAACAACATACACAGCAGTTATACACATGGACCTCACCAAACGGAATACACAGGAATCAAATTGACTGCAGGAGCCCTGGTTATGTAGTGATTATGAGTTGGGGTGTGATTTGTACAGTCAGCAGTTCTAAACCACCAACTGGCTCTTTGGGAGAAAGATGGGGCTTTCTATTCCTGTAAACAACTGCAATCTCAGAAACTTAGAGAGGCAGTTCCCTGTCCTATGGGGTCGCTATGACGGCACTGAGGGAGTTTTCTGGTTTGGTTTGGGTTGGGGGAAGAAAGAATAGAGAAGCTCAACAGCAGCCAAAATGAAGCCCGGGGCTGACGGTGAAATAGACAATCAATTGCTCAGATTTAAATTTGAGTTGAAAGTGAAGAAAATTAAAATAAGTCCTTGAGAGCTAAAATACGTCTCTGAGTACATCACATCTGAATTTTGAAAAACATCAAGAAAAAGTTTGGCACCCTGAACACTAAATGACAAAAGACCTGATGAGCTATGGGATGACACTGAGGACATCATAATGAAGAAAGCAAGACATCACAAAGAGGGAAGATGTCAGAAGAGTCTCTGAAATTTGCTCTTAATCGTAGAGTAGTCAAGGCAAATGGCAGAAATGATGAAGTCAAAGAACTGAACAGAAAGTTTCAAAGGGCAGCTTGAGAAGACAAAACCAAATATGACAATGGAATGGGCAAAGACTTAGTTCGAAAACCAAAAAGGAAGAAGACACTCAGCGTATCTTTAACTGAAAGAAACATTTCAAGGCTTGAGTTGCAAGATTCAAAGATTGTATAGGCAAAATATTGATTGATGCAGGAAGCATTGAAAGATGGAAAGAACACAGAGTCACTGTACCAGAAAGAGCCAGCTGACATTCAACTGAAAGAAGCAGTCCAAACGATACTGAAGGCATTAGTGAAAAACAAGGCACCAGGAACTGACAGAACACTCACTGAATTGTTTCAACAAGCCGATGAAGCACTCACTGGTCTGTGGCAAGAAATCTGAAGGACCGCAGCCAACCAACTTTAAGAGATCAATATTTGAGCCTACGACAAAGAAAGGTGACCCAACCGTGTATAGTAATTATCGAACAATTTCATATGCAAATACAATTTTGCTGAAGGTCATTAAAAAAAAACCAGTTGCGGCAGTTATCTAGACAGGGAACCTCTAGAAATTCAGACCAGAATAAGAGGACATGGCATAAGGGATATCACTGATGATGTTAGACAGATCTTGACTGAAAGCAAAGAATACTAGAAAGATGCTTACTACTTACACGTTGTTAACGGTACAAAGGTATTCAACTGTGTGGATCATAACAAACTATGGATAACACTGAGATGAATGGGCATTCCAGAGCGCTTCACTGTGCTCATGTAGAACCTGTACATGGACCAAGAAGCAATCGTTTGAACACAACAAGGAAATATTGTGTGGTTTAAAATCAGGAAAGCAGTGCATCAAGACTTAGCCTTCCACCACACTTACTCAATTTGTCTATGAGTAAAGAATTTGAGAAGCTGGAATACATGAAAAATTGGGCTTCAGGATTGGAGGAAGGTTTACTAGCAACCTGGGGATAAGCAGATGATACAACCTTGCTTGCTGAAAGTGCAGAAGACTTGAAGCGTGAAGCACTTGCTGATGAAGATCAAGGTGTGCCTTTGGGCATGACCAGAGAGAGTACTGTTACTTCTGATCCTGAAAGATAGCTTGTTTTCTTCCTCAATCTCATAATCTTGAGTATTATCTGTGAGTTGTGTGTGGCCAGTCCAACAGATTATTAAACCCAGCCAAGGAGGGCCAGAGGATGAATGGGTTGGTGTTAGAATAGGGTAAAGAAAGTTGCAGTGTGTAGA